GACTGCATACCTCATTTATCGTGGCAGCAGCTACGCCAGCGGTGAGAAAATGCTGTGGTGGGACAATTGTGATCACCCTTATCCACCCCAAGGCAGGCTGCAGCTACTCCAAACGGAAATACCCCACGAAAAACGCATTCAACACCATGTGTAAATTGAGTGCATAGCCATGCCCATCCCTTCCTCGGGACATGTAGTGTATCAAACAACTTTAGAGGAAAGCTGGTTCTCAGAAGTGTGAGGCACAGGCCGCTAGCATTTGAAGAAGAAACGGACAAAAGAGAAGAACAACCTAACCTCCAGGATGTGTGGATCCGAAAAATTCGTCTACTTTGTCCATGCTGACTTCTGCGCCAGGTTCTGAGAAGATTTTCTCCCTTAACACGATATGGTCAAGAACTTTCACAGAGAAGCGAGTAAAAATACACATGACAGGAAGCCGTAAAAACCTAGGACGATATAAAACAGTGGTACTCACTTATACTTGAGCACGATTTGTGAAAGGATTGTCGACCTCGATCAACTGCAAAACAAGAACTTAGGAGAATTTAAGATGGCTAAAACGTCTGAAACGCTACCCGGCGCTGGTCCACCCAGGGGAGAGGGGAAGGGGCATACTGTTTACCGCTGTTAACATAACACCAACCAATTTTGTAAGGTACAGCAAACTCCTTTGAAGCAGGATGGGTGAGAGAACGGAACGGCGCGGTGAAAGACCGGGTAGCTGAACCTATTCATGAGATATGGGATCCTTGTTCGCCTAAACGATTAGGTTCAGATACCCCGAAGTTCCTTCGCCCTCTTGGGCTAGGGCAGAAGTCCTCAACCTCAGGCTAGCAGTTTTACAAGGGTTTACAGTACCTCAAAAACACGAGTTGTACGGCATGTTGACAAGAATTCACAGAATGCCTCCCCCCTCTTGATATGAGCAGACTTGCGTCTAGTCCCGCGCCTTATCAAATCAATAAAGAAGCAAAAGTTATTACTCGAAGCAGTTGAGTGACGGGGTGAAATACTAGCCGAATTCCATCGTTGCCCAAATACGCACAAATATCGCGCCCGAGCGGATCCTGGAACAAATTGGTCACAAAACAGGTGACTGAAGCTGAATCAAACACTGGAAAACACCTAGAAAAAGAACAACTATAAGTCGCCAAGTACGGCTCTCAATAAACCTCGGCATCGTTGTAGTACTGCAGAAATTCTTCTGTGTGAGACCAGCGGTCTCGCCGAAACGTGCGTAAGCCGAATAAACTGCTGTATCAACCTCGCGAAGAGTTTCTACAGAAGAATTTCTACAGCAGAACAACTATAGCTGTGTCGAACGATTATGTATGAGAAATAAGGTTACTATACATATCAATTAGGTCTCACATTTGAGCCCTCTCGTCTGTTCCAGGGCCTAAAGTTACGCAGCTCCTAATTTGGAAGTTACTTGACCAAGCAACATCAAATTAAGAGCTAAGAGCCGTTCTTAAGTCAGCAAAGTGCACGACA